AAGAGGAAAGAACCTATGAGGTGAGTAGGGTGCCACTATGTTTGATTTATTATGTGAGCAATATCTTAGCAAATAGAAAAGATAAGACCTTCTTATTCTATACTCTAGCTTGTCAATATCTGTAATTTGAGTTTCTAATTCGTATGATACTATAGACTTAGTATTTTGACTTCACAAACATCTAATTTGAACCAGTGCTGCATTCAACATACCACGTGACACACAAAAATAGATGTTTATCTGTTTTTTTAATATTCACTTTTAAATTAAGAAATTTAGTAATGTATAATTAAAAAATTTGAATTATAATCTACAGTTTGATATCAAACTTATTGACATAAATTCATGAAATATTAGTTCAATAAAATTTTGGATGTGAGTCAACAAACGAGACGACATGGCCTTTCACCTGTGACCCATCTCAAAAGGGTTAACTTAAATAAGTTCAAATACTTATGTCATTTATCCTGAAGTTTTACTGAAGAAAAAATTATCTTACCTTCCACCTGTGGCCACATTCATTACAGTAAACAAAAGTTGTCATTGGTTCATCAGCACTCCTTGTCTGAACCTGGAAAATACAGTAGACTGCAAAATCTATTGCTAAAACTTACTTGACAGAAACTTCACACTCACACATCTTTTTATTGACAAATTTTGGTGTTATCACAATTCTAGATACCAAATTAACTGATAAATGAAATTGTTATTGCACATGTATATAATCTTATGACTGTGAAACACTAGTCTAGCTAGTGTGCAACAAATTTATGAAAACAATAAATTGTAGACCTGGGTTAGAATTTAATCTAAGGTCACTAGTTCCTAAAATTATCTTAAAACAAATTACAACAAAACTTTCTACTGAAATTTTTTTCATTGAAATAGATTTTTCTCATATAGCATGTTAACTATTCATTAAAATATTATATATACATTTTAAAATTATTCTAATATGGAGGATACCCTTACTTTCTAAAAAGGATATTTTTACAATAATAGAAACTTCTCTCTCAGACTGAATATAGTTATATTCCAGCAGTAACATTTTTAAAGAAAAATGTGCATGATTTTAAATGGATGGTACATGTGAAAAATACATTACTTCATTACTTTGAATTATATCTGTTCTCCCTGGTTTATGCAAGTAGCTTTTAAATTAAGGAAGCCAGAAAATCCATTTTTTTGTCATGCAAATCTATTATATTTTAACCTAATAGTTAAGCATTCCTGTGATGGAATGCTTAAAACACTTCTAGCATACTCTCTAGATTGATCCTTTGATTTTTATACAAAGCTACAGATACTTGGATAATCATGTTATATTCAATATTTACCTTGATATATTAATCCTACCAGCAACCACTTTAAATATTTGTAACACTTCATTTATTGACTGACTCTTACCTGGTTGTACGTGCAGTTGGATTTCTTACACTTGCCACATTTTAGGAGATCAGTTTTAGTTCCACCTGTCATTACCATCTGATGATCATTGATAGCCTCCTTTGTTAGCTTCTGTCGAAGATTTTTCATCTCCTCACTGGCCATTTCCTGATTAAACAAAGCAGATTATAGTTTTAGAAACTAGATACCCATAGGAGAATGTCCAAATTAATCTAAAGATTAATCCTCTCTTACACCAGCTGTAAAGATGAAATACAAGAGTACTACAGTCACTCACAATATTCATTTCAGAGGATAGACTTGTTCTTTACTGTTCACTATTGGTTACCTCAGTGTTATAGCAAATTGTTCCGAAATTGAAACATTCTTTACTTTGTACATGAACTATAACATGACTAATGTTGTTAAGCACACCACGTAGTATATATATATATATATATATATATTAGTTACTTCCATTATTAGAATGGGACTCTTAATGATGAAATTCTCTACGATTCTTTGGGGTAATCTTCTCAAAGTATTTCTTGCATCCATTTGTTTACAGCTTAGGTTGTGCTTATTGATACACTACCAGCAGAGCAACCAGAATAGTTACCTTTAGATGAAAAGAAATCTTGAATTTTACTTTTCAATTTAAATACACAGTTACATTATACATTAGGATAAATTCTATTAATTGTGTTCAAGCTTTTCTTAACTTGGAGTTAAATACTCCCTAAATATATGTTAACATCAAGTAAATGTTCTTTCTTGCTTTAGTATGTTCAAGTTGTAAGAAGTGATCCAGATTTCAAAGCTGTCTAGTTATTTCTACATATGTATAGTTAATTGGATGAATTTTTAACAAATTATCTTTTCTCATTTCTTGGTTCAATAACTGTATCACTACAGATTTGACATGCTCCACATATTAGAATTAAAATTTTCTTGTAAGGGCTATATATAGCTATCAAAATGAATATACAATCCTGTGAATGTAGGTTTGAAATAAACACTACTTGCAAAAATACTACCATTAATATCTACAAATACATCTAAAACAACACCACCACCAAAAATGATAAAGGTGTCTTTGCTATGTAATTCTATACAAGTGAATGAATAGCAAACCTCATTAAGGTGGATGGCATAATATATAAATCCTACTTCTAAGTTGATCCTTTCTGATCATCTGCCACTGACTTTAAGAAGTTTGTGTATTTCTTATTCATTCAAATATCTCTGGCTTCAAAAGACATTTTGCTATTGGCTGGTTGTTCATACACAACAGTTAGAGAGAGCCTCACATACCTATTTTGGTTTAGTGAAACATCAAAGTAGACCAGGTAATCCCAGTAAGCCTACTAGTACTAGTATTTTGACTTCAGCCCTAGCCCTCACCCCTCCATTTTTTTAAACAGAATTTAAATGAATTGGGTAGATGGCCGATTTAACAACAAAAATGGCAGAAATCTGTCAAATGGTGACCAATTTTCATTCTTGCTTAAAACTCGCACCCAATAAAATAAAAAAGTACATTTACTTAATGTTACCATATTTAGGGAATACAAATACTCCAAACTACCAAAAGCTTGAAAAAAATCAATACAATTTATTCTAATGCAAGACTCAAATAAGATAAATTTTTTCTTCAATTTTAAAGATAAGAAGGTTTGTACTTGCTTCATTAGTAATGTATCAATACATGTGCCCAGGCTGTGAGCAGTTGAAAAAAAAGTACTACCAGAAAACTCCAATGAAGAACTATGGAGTATCTCAGCATCAAGAGTCCCACTCGAACAGCAGTAACTAAACATATATTACAGTTTTGTGAACATCTACCAAAGTTTACAGGATGCTTTGTTGGCAGCAGACATGGGTTATTTGTATTTGAATGCATTTGAATACTTTGGTATGGAGAATTGTACTTGCATTCAATTGAATAGTATTCATATTTGCTGAATGATTTAGTGAATATTTAATAATGTAAGAGTAAATGTCAACTTCTGTACTCAGATTTCTAGGCCGTCATTATTACATCTGCAGTACGTTAATTTTTCTTTCAGTACAAGTTCTGTTCAAACAGAAAAGTTTACCATGGGAATGAAGCTTGTACTGAAAGAGAAATTAACACTTTTCTGTACAGAAAACAGCATAATATAATAACTCATTTGAAAAATGAAAACCTTAACTTTCTATTTGTTATAATAAATATAGTATTGAACATCAGGGAAAACTGTTGACAAATCCTGAAAGAGAGGATGAACAAGGTGGATGTGGCAAGAGGGGTCCAATTTTCTATTTGATGGTTATGTAACCAAATAAAATTGAAGGCTATGAAAATTATGCTTTGCTTGAGCTATGACAACATTATAATGAGTAATTTACATCAAATATATACTATTAAAATATGGATTATTAGCTACAATTTTATGCTATACTAATTGATATAACATGAAGAAACAGTAGTTCAATTAAATTTGGAATGTAACTTACTAAAAACATTGTGACATGTGCAGTAAAAAATACCTTTGGCAAGAGGGTTAAATCAGGTCAATACTATTCAACCACCTTAAAAGTTATTGCATTCCATGGTTATTAATCCAGTCATGTCACTTGAGAGAGTTTGAGATGGCTACTAAACTCCCTTCTGTAGTACATGAACACTTCATATTTCCTACTGCTAGATCTGGTCACACCAAGGCAAAATGTAAATATTGTGAACGGACTATTTGTACCTCAAGAAACCATTTCTAACCTGCTGACACATTTCAATGTAAGCTTTTTTTATTATTTTTGTTGATGTGAACTATATTCTATGTAAATTATATAATAAAATATTGGTAAACTAAGTATCTCATGCATGTTAAACTATATTTTATTATTATTTTCATTTATTTAGTATTATATGTTTTTATCATAAACTATTTTATAATTAAACTAAATTTCTCATGTTTTGAACTATATTCATCATTTTTATTTATTATTATTATTATTATTATTATATGTTTTTATTAGTTTTATTATAAGCTATATTATATAACTGAGATACACTTTTGTATTTCTAGTGTAATCATGATGCAGAGCTACAGAAGTCTTGTACTGGCTCTTGTACTTCCACCAGGTGCAGCAATCTACAATAGCAGCATAATGTACAGAATCAACTAAATACAAGTCTACACACCCTTATCACAAGCACATCTCTTAACAAACTCTTCAGTTCTATTGCCAGAACATTGCAACCCTTTTCAGTGGTGTAGTAAAAAGATTTAAGATCTATTAGCATCCATGGATTCTTGGTATATTCTTCCCAGTGGCAAGCATCTGTCCACAATGTTGATTGAGTCCAAAAAAAAAGTCACCTTTCTAGTGCAACTTGTACCTAACACCAATATCACTGTGAATATGTGGAGAAGCAGACAAATGTGTAGCTTTCTTGGAGTCATTGGTCATTTTATAGTTGACTAGAAAATGCAAACAATCATACTGACATGACGGTGTTTCAGAGGGAGTCACATGTCTAATAAATTTGCAGCTCAATATGATGAAATATTAAAACTCTTTAACATCAACAACGTGTCATATGTGACAGCTAATAATGCATTCAACATGATAAAGGCTTTCTGCTTCCCTGGATTTGAACTGCAAACACTACTTAGGTGACAGCTCACTTACAGAAAGTGACTCAGAAGATGAACTTATGGATGATTCTAAATCAGCAAACAATTTATTCAAATTTCTTCCTGAACATGACCCCCCCACTTTTCCTACACGCTACAGCTTGTGGCAAGAAAAAAGCTGTCCACAGCTGAAAGTAATTTCCAAAGCATTAGCCATTGTGTGCTACATTTGCAAATCAATGCAAGCAACTGATCTACTTGATGTCAGGTCCAGTTGGTAACACCAACACGATAGAACTCAGAAATTAACATGATTACTGAACATTCCCCAAAGGAAGACGGATAATCTAGATAATGGCACATCAAAACTTGCTTTTCGTGATCGAACTGTGCTAGCAGATTTGGTGAAAATACTGACACTTTTTAAATAGGCAACATATTTCACCCACTGTCAGAACACTGCTATCTCAAGTTATGTAGTGCCATGTGTTTATAGGATGATGACTGAGATTGACAGCATGCAGTCCAAATATAATTTCAATATAGTCTCTGCACTGAAGAAATTTGTTCACACCCAGATGACTCAGTAGGAGTAATGAAGTGCCTTCTGTTTGGCTGCAGCTTTGGATCCCAGATTTAAACCTGACTGGTTTATGAATCTAATCGAATGCTCCTGCAGCAAGAAGTCAAGAAAGTTTCTTCAACAAATAATCCTGCAACCATGGAACCAAAAGAGGACTATGTATTCATATTCTAATACTGAGAATTTGTTCTGAATTTATATTCATAAAAATATGAAGTATTTGTATTTGATTACTGGCCCCTAGTATTTGCCCCATCCATGGTTGGTAGTGTACCAATAAGCAAGACATAAACTGTAAGCAAGTGGGTGTAGGAAGTGCTACTAGATGACTCAACAAAGAACTGTGGAACACCCCAAAATCGAAATTCACTCCAACAGCAGTAACTAAACATATACTGCAGTGTTATGAAAATTTACCCAAGCTTTCAAGATGCTTTTTTAGCAGTGTACCAATAAGAATGACCCAAACTGTAAGCAAATGGATGTAGAAAGTACTACCAAAAGACACCAATAAAGAGTTATGGTGCATCTCAACTTCAAAAGTCCCATTTCTACAGTGGTAACTATAAACATATACCACAGTGTTATGAAATTCTACCAAAGTTTTCTGGAACCTTTGTTAGTACTGTACCAATATACAACCTCAAGCTGTAAGATAGGATGTAGAAAGTGCTACTAGAAGACTCAACAAAGAATTGTGGAACATTACAACATTGAAAGTCACTCCAACAGCACTAACTAAACATATACTATAGTTTTATGAAAATCTACCAAGTTTTCTGGATGTCTCAATAGTAGTATATCAATACACATGCCCAAGCTGCAAGCAAACGGATGGAGGAAGTGCTACCAGAAGACACCATCACAGAATTATGAACATCTCAACATCAAAAGTCTCACTCAAACAGCAGTAATTAAACATATTTTGCTATAAAACTAAAACAACCAGAAGTGAACAGCAAAGAACAAGTTCTTTTGGAACTTATAATCTTATGATTTGTGATTTTTTAAATTTGTTTAGTAAATTCATCACAAAAACTTGCAAATTTCTACTAAGATATGTTAAATAAGTCATACATGCTCAATTTTTTAACTTTTATTCTCTAAAAGAGTGGTTTTTACAAAATATGGTGGCACACACATACACATAAACAATAACTAATTCAAGTTTCTGTTGGTTGATCCACTAAGACAATGAATCACCCCTTCAATATTTTATAAATTAGATAATTCAACCAAATATGACCATATCAAATATCTATACATTTGTGAAATACCCTGGCAAGCTTACATGCTGCAAAGTAAGTTTTAAAATTAATAATTTTTTTCCCAGAAATATTATATTGTAATTGCCATATTTTTGCTAAGTGGCAGCTTAATGTGATAATTTGTTTTGCACATGCCTGCCTACGTACACAAACAAGAGAGAATCTTCAATAGTTGCAGCACTTGAAATTTAGGCAGGATTAGAGTAAATTCATCTAAGATATTTTTTTTTCCTTTTTATCATCTGTATTTTTGGGCACCAGCAATACCAAGCATGGGGCGCATGCATACTAAATTCAATTTTACTGCTTATCAGGATCTCAAACAGCCTACCCTCAAGTTGATATTCTCCTAGGCAGGAGTAGATCAAATTAATCTATGAGACCTTGGGCATGGTCAAATCTCTCAATTGAAAAGGTTTGACCTCCTGAGTCCAAACCTGTAATTAGATCTTAAATCCATCAAGAGATGACAGAGCTAAGAATTAAAAGTTTGTACTTGAAAAAACAAAAACAAACAGAGCAATTCTATGAGCCACTATGCCATGGCTAAAAATCTTCATAAAGTTGCTTGTTATAATTGATAGATATCAACAGTGAGAAATGGTAATATCAAAGCATGTAATGTAATTTCTAAATAAAACTGTTAAAACTTTTACATCATAAAAACATGCCAGAGCCACCCCCTTATGTAGAAAGGATTGATGTAGACCAATTTTTGTTGAAAACCTGGATGTTTTTTTAAATATTAAAAAGGTGCATCATCGTTCAGTGAACTGCCAAAAAGTAACAGTAAAAGGTAAAGCAGACCTACTTCTACCCAGATACCTTCATTCTTCAAGGATTACAGAATCAAATAATAAAATTAAGGGGCTATTGGGAATTGACAAAGACTGAAAGAGTGTGTGATGTTCACACTATGTGGCCTGTTAACATAAAGATGATGTAATAACACATAGCATGAGATTTAATATTCTGGCTCACATGAACTTCTTGTTATAGGTACTGGTTTTGATTATTTCATTTATAAAAATGGAAGAAATAACATAAGCTACACAATTTTCTCCCATAGGCTAGGGGGGAAAGGAAAACCAAGTAAATCTTCAAGCATGGCATAATTGATTCTTAGCTGTAAAATGGAAGTAAAATATTAACTTAGTTTTTCTTTACTACAAAGATGAATGTAATATCTTAACTGTAGATGAGAAATTGAAAATTAATCCAGTTATATTTGACAGTAAATATGAACTAAAAGACTAATTAACTTAGTTTTTCTTTACTACAAAGATGAATGTAATATCTTAACTGTAGACGAGAAATTTGACAGTAAATATGAACTAAAAGACTAATCTACCTCAACGGCAATTGACAATGTGAAGTAGAAAATGTTTCCAGTCTTATACAAACTGTAATGGTGAAGTAGAAGATTAATGACATCTTTATCTAAGTAAAAGTTAACTAGAAAAAGCATTCAACCTAACCTCGACTGAAAAGGAGAAGTTAAAAAATTAACCTATTCAACTCTCAGCTGTGAAAGTGAACTGAAGAAGTCACTAAGCTAAGCCTCAATTGATAAGATGAAGTTTAACTTTGTTTTATCTATCAAGGTGAACCACAAAAACAATCCAGTCTTACCTCAGCTGTCATCACAGCTAGTCGTTCAGGAGTGATTAAACCTCGCAGTACATTTAGCCTCAGGTTGGGATTTTTGGAATCTTTCAGGTTAGCTACTCTGCTACGAACTCTGGTTTTATACTTAAAATTTGTGTCTTTAAATTCTTCATAAATAAGTATAACAGTTAAAGATATCACAGATATTCTTTGTAGATCAACTTTACTCACTAGTTTAAAACAGTATTATTTGTAAATATTTGAAATAGTTTAAAGAATGAATTCTTAAGATTAAATTATACTATACATCTATATATGACTAGATTCAGCACTAAATCTGCATGTGTCAGTTTAGCAAAACATTATGTAAGTTTCAAGTTTTCAAATTTCAACAAAGCATAAGACAATGAAACCTAAATTTTTCACTAAATCACTACTATCAGCCAATAACAGCACTGATCATAAAGACAGAAAAATCTTCAAGGCAGTGACTTTAATGCAAAGCCAGCAGACTTCATACCTCGTACTTAAATAATTTCTTCTTAAACCAATGCTTAGTCCTGTCATTTATCAAATTAACTGAAATGCTAGCAGGTCTGAAAATTACATGTATCTTGAAAAATGTTATACATAGAATGACCCGTGTGATATGCAGACGTTTTCTACCCAATTTATCTATATGAAATTTTTAGTTTATTTAGTTGATATGCAGTTTTAGCATAAAAATATTGTCTTCAAAATTGTTGAGATTCCCTGGTTTGTTTCTTTGTTCTCTGTAGTAGATCATGTCTATTCTGCCTACGAGGATATTGCAGTAACATACAGCATTTAGGTTGAAAGGATTAACAATTGTAATATCTTTTTGATGATACTGTTGAATAGATAAACAAACCCAACATTATTTGCACTTTCTTGGTTCACTTTCTATCTGAAGATTTAGTAGTAAAAACCTACTTTAAGATAGTTTTTTAAATTTAGATGGAATTCTGCCTCAAAGAAAGAAAGATGTAGAGTTAATTAAAATCCAGCAGAAGTGACTGTCTCTTCGTGTGTGCAATTACACATACTGCATTCATTTTGGGTTTTCCATAATCAAGGTTGTGTTTGTTTTCTTACACTTGTCCAATCCTCATTATTTTGTACACAATAAGAAAACCCAGTTATCACATACACATTACTCCGTTTATCTCCTGAATGAATCTGCTATTATTAGCAGGTCTAACCATCTAATATTTGTTAGAAAATTAGTTTCTACCTGAAAATACCCCATCAGCACATTGCACTGAACAAACAGAACACCAACCTTTTGAATCATATTGTGAACCTATAATATCATGATAATAAAACTGTTTCCTGAATTGTTTTTATCAGAGAAAGCATTCTGATTATGTTTGAAAAGCAAACCTTGAAAAACAGATTTGCATGGATCTCAACTCAATAATGCTTATGTTTTCTGGCAATTATTCTCTAAATTATTGCTAAAATTCTTTTTTCTAGTTTTCTTTTTAAATTTCTGAACAAATGGTAGTTTACTGATTTTTTTTTAAAGAGCAGATTAACACTGTACCATTGATTTTAGTATTAAGCTCATGAAATATACAATGGTTTTAAAAAACTTGAAAAATAGCAGTTATACAATATTTTACAAATGAATTTCAGTATTACTAAAAACTATCAAACTAACTTGGCAAATTGTAGAGTAGACACAGTTTTGAACTACTTTAACCTATTTTTATCAGGTTAACATATTTTTTAAATCACCAATTAATCAATCTTCATTAACTGTCACTAAGGCTAAAACTTGTTATTATTGTTGAATTAGACAAACCTCAATTAAAAACAAATGAGTATTACTATAAATAAACTTGTGAATGCAAGCATCATGCTAAAGGATATAATGTTCAATTTTTGCAGCAAGTTCTTCTGGATCTTCAATATTATCTGAAACTTCTGTAAAGAACAGTAGCTGTAATTAAATATTTCTTCCAATACCTTTCCTTTACACCTTCATGTCTCCTTTTGTATTATATTCTACAAATGATAGAAGTTCTATCCCCTACCACTTGTGCACAATTAAATATTTTTAACTGAAATCAATTTAATGGGTTTAGGAAAAAAAAACATCACATTCAAAGATGTCAAATACATTCTATCTTACATTAATAAAAACATTATTTCTAGACCAATACTAACACAACTGTACAAGCTTATAAAAGTTTGAAAAAACTATATAGTGAATGGTTTGCTTTATAACTGAGGAAATGTTCTAAAAAAAGGCTAAAGATAACAAAACTTATGAATGATCTGAAAGTTGCAAAATACCCAAAAACTTTTAATCCTTCTTGTACAGGAGAGTGAATTACACCCAGCCCATACTTCCTGAAGTAACCATAAAGCAGTTATACTGTAACATTTTAGAATGTAAAAATATCTTCATGAAATTTTGCAGATTATCAGTAAATATTACAAGGCATTTGTACACAAATCATCCAAGTTTTAACATCTTTAAATTAATTATTTGCTTGTGTATTTTTTATTTTCAAATGTTGAATGTCATACATGTGAAGTAATTTTGATTTTAAGATTACAAATACTTTTATGCATCAGAAAATTGTTAAATTTCACATGTGAAATCTCTATAACTTCCTAATATCCACCAGATAATTATCAAACGTTTTTTTTGAAATAATTTTACATTTTACCTGTTATTTTCACTAATGTATCTCTGTATGGATTTGGTCAATTAAATCAATCATGTAACCACTATAAAAAAAAAGGGGAATGATATGAATTACACTTTTTTCATTCTAGAATTATAACACGAAACTGCAAGTGCTTAGTCTAAATAGTTTAAATATCATAACATCACACACACAAATAAAAAATATTTTTATTTTACTGACCTTTCAGCAGTGTGTGACTAACATTACAGAAGTAGAATGATGCAGTGCACGTGCACTCGTTACTGTATCCAATAATATAAAACTGGCCTTTACAAAGTAACCTGCCTTGGGTATGTTCTATTAGACCAGTATTTTGTAAAAAAACAGTCACATTTCAGTTATAATACATTATATATGTATATACATTACTGCTATTTACAAATAAGTTCTTAAATTTCAGTTATTTATCTTAAAACATAGAACAGTAAATAAAGAAGTATAGAAAACAATTATATCTCCTAGTTACGAACTTTGTATTAGCTTGCTGCTTGCCATAACTTGCTAAGCCTGATCAAATTTTGCACATGCAGAATGTAAAACAAAAAATTCATAATTTACTATATCAATACCACAGAATTCTACTATAATTTATCAGGCCTAGTAACTAGGCTGTATTTGGGTCTCAAAATTATGATTTTCGAGCTCAATAATGCCTTACCTTACTACTTGGACCCTACAATACACATTCTGAGCTTTCTATTGGTTGTTCACACATCACAGACAGAAGGAATAGGTGTAAACAAGCAAGTATTTCCAAAAGAGGTTGGCGGGACCACTGTGTTTGATTCACTAAATGTAGTGATATCTCAGCAAATAGAAAAGACAGGAGGTTCTTAATTTTATATTCTAGCTTGTCAATATCGGTAGTTTGAGTTTATAATTTGTAAACTATAGACTTTGTATTTGGATATCACAAACATCTAATCTGAACCAATGCTACATTCAATATAACACGTTACACACAAAAATAAATATTTAGGATTTTTTTTTAAATATTTACTTTTAAATTAAGAAATTAACTAAGATACACAACTAAAATTCGAATTGCAATCTACAATTTGATACCAAACATATTGATATGCATTCAAAAAATAGTAGTTAAATAAAATGTTGAATGTAAGTCTACAAATGCAATGATATGGCGTATGACCCATAACCATAGGAAGACCCGTCTCGGTAGGGTTAATATATGTATATATAAATAAACAAAAACCATATATTAAGTTCTACGATATGCCAAGTTTTCAAGCTCAAGAAACAGGTATTGTTTTCACAGATACAGAAGAGTTGAGCTGGGCATTTGTTATCTGTAGCAATAAATAACATACACATTATTACAAAAGATCTATAATTATGCATTCTGGCAATCTCTTCAAAATTGTGAAATTATCTGTAAATCCAATTAATGAATTTTCACATTACTGTTGATTCCAAAATTAAAATCTTTCAGAAAAAATTTGGTAATATTAAATGCACCATCTTAAACCAAGCAATAGATCTGTTCAATATGCTCTTTAATAATTAAGTTTTTGATGAAAAACTCCAAGAAAAGGGTATAGGTGAAAATATTGGAAAATAAATATTCTGCAAATTCGAGAGTGACTATGTCTAGACTATCAAACATACATACTTCAAACTGGGTATTCCAAAAGCTTCATTAAAACATAAGTAACATATTTATGGACACTTTCGTCTGGACTGTCCCAATGAAAATGCTTACCATCACACTTTAAAGCTCCTGATAACAGTTCACGACACTTGAGACGAACTGCATTTGTTGTATCAGCTGGGAAAGTAACCTGTTTTGGAGAATTCTTTAATGAAGCTGGGGTTGGAGATGGTGAGGGTGTTGTCTGTTGATTAGATGACTGACCAGCTGAACTACTATTCATGTCACTCTTCTCTTTACCACCTGCGTCCCCATTACCATCACCTTTCCCTGAAAACAAACACACTAATCGATTAATCAATAGCCCCATTAATTAGTACAGTGTTCCTCAAGCCACGCTACCTACAAGTGAAAACAACAACTAGTGAAGTGGCAGATAATCTTAGTAGCTTTGCCATAATAAAGATAGGAAAAGCAAATCTGATGGCAATATTTTGATTACCTGGATATTTGGAATAAATAAAAATTGTAATCATCAAAAACCTATTTTCAATTAATTTATTACCTTCGTAACAGTCAATTTAATTGTAATTTTGATTAACCCTATGACTACGATATAGGTACTATGTATCTATCCCATATCAGGAATAGCACAATTGCAACAAACTGTAAAATAATTATGAGCTTTCTTAACATATCTTCATGAAATTTGGCAAGCTTTCAGCAAACATTCCAAGTCTTTTTTTTTATACAAAAATTCAGATTTTTTAATTTAGTATTTTTACTAAAAATTTGTCAGTGAATACTTAGGGTAAGAGTCTTGCAAATTTTCAAATTTCATATGCATAATCTCCAAAACCTCCTAAATAAATTCCTATTTTTTCAGTAAAATTTGATAGTTTTTCTGTTATTTTCTCTAACCTAACTGTATACCCATTTGTTAAAGTTGACTGACCTTGTAAGCACCATAAAAAATACAAAATAAATCTAATTTACCACCTCCCCCTTTTTTTTTTTTTTTTATAGAATGACTGCATATCGTAGTAATAAAAACTACAATTATCTATATACAACTACAACTCAGAGATTGTTTGTTTGTGGGCTTGTCTGTAATTACATACAGCAAAAAATGGTGCACAATACTGCCACATTTGTAATGAAATGAGAATAGAAACACAATAAAACAAGTTTTGTTAAAATCTGGCCACGGGTTACCGAGTTAACCCCGTTTTTCGAGTAACTTTTATGAAAATTTCTAGATGAATTTAGGTACACTAGATGGAGCCACATATTGGTTTATCTATCTATCTATTGGTTTTCCACCTGATGAATCACTTTAAAATATCTTCTATACAACAATATATGCACAACAGAAATTAAATGATGAGATGAGAATGTAGAAAGAACAACAATAAAATGGACCTACAATATTATTGACTATTTGCAAATAGTAACTATGGAGACAAGTTAATAAAATAAAAATCAAGTCGAGAACAGCAACAAAATTTTATAAACAAAAACGTCTCGCTGAGCATTGGCTATCATATTATTTCCCTGTCAATGTTCCCATCTTCATTAAAAGGCATAAGATGACAAAAACAAGATCTTGAAGAATCTATCTATATACTACTAAAACTCTGAGATTGTTTGTTTGCTTGCTTATTTTCTCAGTCAAAAAAATCATTCACACTACCGTTCACGCTCTTTCCTTTTACTCCCTATCAACAATCAAATATATTTTCTTGAATTATGAATAACACAAATGGATTGAAATATTTAATTAAATTATCTCAAAATAAATCTTCATTTCGGTACAATATTGAAATTAGCTTGAATTCTTCATAACCTCTGAATAGTTGTTGACCCAATGGATCATGGCGGTCTAGTTTATCCTAAATAGCTTAAATTATACATATGTTTATAATTAATTTTGTTGTTTATTGTCCTTTGAACTGTGTCTAACTAATAATCCTGCCATGCAAGTCAGTCAGCAAATGTGCAGCTCATGCTACCATATTGAATTGCATAATGCATGAGCTGCTCATGAGTATACTTCATGAAGAATTTTTATTATTATTATTTTTCATTATCTTACATAATTTAACTTAGTAAATTTCTAATTCTTACATATTAGTTACATTTATAACAATCAATAAAAAATAAACATGAAAAACAAGAAATACAATACTTACCTGTGTCCTTTTCTTTTTATGTCGACTGTCACTTAAGCCTATATTACTTCTTTTAATACTAATTGTACTACTACTACTACTACTACTACTACTACACTAAATTTATTTAACTAAACGATACACCTAAAAACACATAATAACAACATGCACAAAGCAAACAATATCCAATGACTTTCATTATTTTTCTGGCTTTCTAATTATGCAATAAGACCCCTTTACAAATTTAGCTCAGTTTGTTGACATGGTTCCTGTGAGAAAAACGTTTGAACTGGAGGTAAAATAGACAATTTTCTGTATAGAAAACAATATAATATAATACATCATTTCATAGATTAAAACTCTGATGCTTTATATACATTATTTTTAACCAATGGAAAGCCAGAGAGAGCTCCTGGCAATTTGTGAGAGAGAGGATGTGACAAGTGGGTTATATTTTCTTGATTACAGTTCCATAAACAAATAGGATTGAAGGCTATAAAAGTTATGCTTTGCTTGTGTAATATCAATATTATAATGTGTAACTAAAATAAAATTCCATACGGCTTGGAGAGGTGGTAAATAAATTAGAGAAGAGGGAAGACAGAGAGCAAATGTCATAATTGTCATACTAGGGAAGATTGAGGATTATTTCAAATATTTCCTTTTAAATTAAGAACTTAAAACTTATATGATTTTAAAATTTGATTTATTAAATATGTTTGATGCTAAGTTTATTCATATACAATGATAATAAAATAGTTTAAATTTCGAATGTAATGTAAAAACCTTGTGACATGCGCAAAAAAAGGGTACCTGTATGGAAAGGGTTAATCTATTAGTAATTGCAGCTCATGGGTAGCTTAAAATTTCACAGCCCTAATGACAAACATTGCTATGTTGAACACATTGTAATAAAAAATAATAATGTTAATTCTGCATGAAATCATCATTCACCATTCTATTTTAAACACTACAAACAGATAACCCTAAAACTGACTGTTTTATGTTTCAGATCAGTTAATAATCAAAATTTTATGACTGTTATGTCTCATTTGCAATTAATAATTTCAATTCTTACATACTATGTCATTTATGAAACATCTATCCTTTGGTAACATATTTAACAAAAAAGAAGACAAACATTAACAAGTTTATGATAACAAGGTTTATGATGATTCATTAGGAATTAATTGCACTCATATAAAGTAGTGCAGAATGATGTTACGTGCATTACCTACATTTAGAGTTCACAAAAAAGTATCAGCTGGCTAATTCAGATCAAACATAATAAAAAGTAAGGTGACAATAGGATATTTTGTTCAAGATTACTCTCAATCAGGGCAAATTAAAAAAAAAAAAGACTTATTACTGCATATCTTACCAGACAAAAGTTTCTTCCAACTTTTGATCAGAGACTTGGACAGGCTTATAACCTCTTCATCATTGCTTGATTTTCTTAAGGAGTTAACAGTCATACCTATCCTAGTCTTCTACAGTAATACAAAAGACTTAATTATCACTTGAGATGTTCTATACAAATATGAAACATTATATAGATGCAGAAGAGCTGAAATGGGCTCTTATCATACGTAGCAATATATAATAAACATATTACCATAACATATCTGGCAGTCTCTACAAGCAAAAAAATATGAAATTATCTGAAAATACATAATTACTTTTTACATGTTACTGGATATTCTAAAATACAATTCCTTCAGACTATGTTTGTTAATTAAATGCAACACCTCAAACAGAACAATTCATCTGCCCAATATACTCTCCAATGAGGAAAACTAACCAAATGACTTCTCTCTGTGTGTGTGTGTGTGTGTGTGTGTGTTTGTTATAGCAAAGCCACATCGGGCTATCTGCTGTGTCCACCAAGGGGAATCAAACCCATGATTTTAGCATTGTAAATCTGAAGACTTACCGCTGTCCCACAGGGGGACCTAACTGAATGAAAAGGGTGTAGAATACACTTTAAAAATTCTACAAATTTCAGTGCGAATATGTATTGACTATCAACACTCATATTTTATATAGAATATTTTCATATCAGCTAGGTAACTATTTTTTCTACCAATATCCTTGGTTGAGGTTGATATATAAAATAGTTTCTTTTCAATAAATACTATATTCTTTAATTTATTTATTATTGATCAGAAAGTTCCATTTTATTTATACAAAACTAGTTTCAACTTGATTGATATTCATTAACATTTATTTTGCCAATTGCAGTAATCATCATTTCTAGCTATAAATTGTGTAAAACTATCTAAAAAAAAAATGAGTTTTATTAGTGATTTATGACATGATATGTCACAATTCTGTCAGGTCAGGCAAGGTAACAATATTCTTGGTTGAGATAAGATTCATACCTAATAAATATAGCTTCTTTTGAATAAATAATACATTATTTTATTTAACAATGTTGTGTGAATGTGATAAACTTGTCAATAGTATTAAATAGATAAGTATACAAATAATTTGAATCGGGGTTCTCACTAGGGTCCCATAGTGAATGGTCCTGGACTTTTTTCAAGAGTCCTAGTGAGATTTTCAAGGGTCCAACAGGTAGAAGTTCATACCCCCCCAAAAGGGAAAAAGCACTTTGATGTCAATGAAAAACTATTCAAAATGTACACAACATGTTTACCTTCTGCAAGTGGAAAGAGCATGTTAATGTTCAATGAAAAACTTTATTCACAATGTACACTACATGTTTACCTTCTGCAAGTGGAAAGAGCATGTTGTTTCCCTTTATGAGAGCAAAGCAATTTTCATAAGATTAAAAATACTTTTCTTCATTTGAGAATTTTTAAATACCATTTGCATAACTCCTAAAACCTTCTAAAGAAATATCAAATGTTATTTTTTTCCACAAAACTTCATATTTTATCTGTTATTTTCTTTACCCTAACTCAATATGAGGTCAGATGATTTGACCAACCTTGTAACCACCATAAAAAATTAGGAAATTATAATTTTCCCCAATTTTCTTTCTGGAATGACTGAAAACTGTAACAGAAAACCACAATTGTTTATCCAAAGTAGCTTAAAGCTTGTAACAGTATACATCTATTTATACTTACATTTTGTTTCACTGCCCTTTGAACTGTGTCTAACTATTATATTTGCAGCCTATAAATTGGAAATCACGTGGTGAATGTGCAGCTCGCATTACGGCAACAAATTACATAATGCACAGACTACTTGTGAGGGTACCTCATAAAAAATTATTATTAGTGGTATTATTATTTATTTTACTTTAGCTAACCTAAAAAGTTTTCAATTTTTCCATTTTAGTTACTTTTACAATAATAAAGAATATACATAAAAAACATGAAATAAAGTACTTACCTTAGTCTTTTTTTTTTGCTCTTGACTGTTGATGAAATTTAACCCTACTTTTTTAATTTATTCATATATTCATTTTACTACTGCATTAAATAATGCAACAAAGAACACAGAATAATCATGTGCAAAAAGGAAACAATGTTTCATAGCTATCACAATTTTTCTGGCTTTCTAACTTCAACAAAAGCCATTAAAAATTCAGCTGAGCTTGTTGATGTGTTTCCTGTTGGAATAAAGTTTGAACTGGAAGGAAAATAATTTTCTGTACAGACAACAACATAATATAATACACTATTTGATAGAGAAAATATATGACTTTCTATTGGTCATAAATAATATAGTCTTCAATGTCAGAAAGAACTACTGGCAAGTTCTGAAAGAGAG